TGACATAACTTCTGTTATGAATTGAATTGATCACCTGAATATAGGAATCTGTATGTTTTTTTTACAATAGAAGGAAACGTTTTTAACTACAGATGGCGTGGGTCACCTTCCATGGAGTCCACCATGTTGAATGACCATGTTTCTACAGTAGCCCAGACAGGAAAAAACAAACACTGGCTCTAGATAGGGCCCTTTGTGTTTTGTATTTTGTGCCCACCATAGTTTCCCATTTGCCCTGGAAGGGGAAGGTGGTGGAATTCCAATCTGCAATTGCACCGCTAGATGCCACTAAATCCTCACACTGGACCTTTAACACTGGATCTCAACCTCAAATGAAAAAGATGATATTAATATTAATGTTCCATCCACAGTCCTGGACAATGTCGGGTACTTTACCATTTTATACAAATCATGGCATTGAATGGCACAACTCTCTACAAAGCTACAGAGTGGTACAACAACACATTTACAAGTCAATGGACCCTAACGTTTTAAGAGTTTCCAATTAACTTGAACAAGGATGCATCATCTGTATATTCTCTGGTCCTGTACCAGTTAATTCTTTGCAGCCAGAGCCTTTAGACTCAAATCTTCCATTTTTGGTTCTGACTGCTGGTCTTTATAACAGCCCAAGGACTTCCTGAGCAAGGCTGGTCTTCACCTGACTCACCACCAAGCCAGAGGCCACACACACTCACAAACCTGTGTTTATCTATTCGAATTTGTATAAAGCATAACAAATCATGTAGTGCTGCGTCAATCCTTCACTGAAGCAGAAATGAAAATCATGAACATTCAACAAAATGGCCTCTGGCACAACATTTACAAATGGCCAAACAGTCCCATTTTATATATCAGAAAACATTATGTTTGACAAATTCATCTCAAGATGTTTGTTTTGTGAGTTTGTACAGATACACAATAGGTAATGTATGGATTAGATAATATGGATTAGATAATCTGGTTAAATTACTGTCTCAAATGTTTCTGATAGTTCGCAAGAGCTTCTTAGATTCTCTGTTGTAAGGCTGCCCTCATTTACCGTAATATTGAAGCACCAAGTAATAAAATTAAACTCAGCAAAATGCTCTCATTGTGCATTTAGTAAAGCAAAGGCATTGGTAAACACAAACAGCATCATCAATATTGTAGATTTCCTGAGCTGATCCTACAGGATCGATACTGAAGTTAGTCCGGGTATATTGTGATGGAGCAGTGTCGGCTAAAATACATCCAATCAAATTTTTATCATTTCTTGACTGTACTTGTGTTGTGTCCACCTCAGCCTGGAGGTTTTGCAAAGTTACTCTCCTTTACAACAGCCAGATGGACCTTACAGTGAGTAAAAATGAGTGTTGACCATAAAAAATTATTTTGGCGTATCAGTAAGTGACACAATATATTAATAATGAGTAAGAATAATGAGTTCTGACAGCTGGATCGGCAAAATACAATGATCCACAGGTTCGGTCTGGTAACAAACTCCTCAGAGTCACAGGAATCCAAGTGAAAACAGTCTAACTAGTAAATACTTGTAACATTTGACATCTCATCCTGTGTGCCACCCTGTTATGTTGTCAGGGCAGGTTTTGGATGTTCAGTTCTTTGTCTCTGGGGTGCATTCATCTCAAAATCAGCACTCAAGGAGGCGGGGGGTATCAAAGGCTGGCCCACACCCTCCCCACCTCACTGAGCCATAGGCCAGTCCTACTAACTCCACAGAGGAAGAGAGAGGCTCACAAAAATAAATGTGAGCAGGGATGTTTGGAGACAATAAAAAAGGGGCTGGAGTGTAAAAGTGGCCGGGGGGTGAATGTTGAAGGGGTCGTATGGGAGGGTTGGTGGGTTGCTGAGGAAATAGAAGACTGAAGAGAACTGGGGCAGGTTGCTCAAGTGGTTGCTTTATTGAACCAATGTCTGTTACCTCCACTCTCTCACACTGAGCAAAAGAAAGAGAATCTGCAGAAAAAAAACTCTCGCAGTATGTCACAATTGTGTGTGTTTGTGTGTAGGACATTTTTGTAAAGTGAGGTCAGTGTGCTGCTTTCTTCAACGGGGGGAACAGCTCAGCAACATTTGGGTCTGTGATTTAGATTAGACTTACAATTGAGTTACAGGTTCAATATTAATGTATTTATTCACAAGCATCATTAGAG